AAGAATATCTTTAAATTAAATGGGGTTTGGACATGTGTGTGAACCAAATTCACTCAGGTACAAATTCTTGAGTTGGTTTGGGTCTTGACAGCCATATTTCTTTTGCCTTTGGAGACGTGTCATGTTCTGGATGGTAGAATGTTTTCTTGGATTCTGATTGGTGCTTGATGACATTAGCATATGTCAACCCTTTTTTTAGGCATAACAAAGATAATTAAAAAAATAAATCTAAAATATTGCCTTTTACCAGAAATAGAAACCTTAATTAGAAAGTCCCTTTGTGTTTGCTGTTTCCGTCACAGTCTTACAGTCTCATAGTCTAACCCTTTCTCTCTCTCTCTCTCTTTCTCTCTCTCTCTCTCTCACACACACACACACATGCACCCTTTCTCTAAAACTCTTTCTCACACATACTCTAATTGGCCTTAGTTTTTTTTTTTTTTTTTGGTCAGCTTACATGCACCTCAACTAATCCTTTACGGCCCTGGAACTGTCGGTCGAGTAAGAGTCCCAGTAGCCACCTCTATTGGTGCCTAGGGGACTCAAACACATGAACTCATGGAATATCTTTTTGCTCTTTTATCGTCAGATCACCCAATGATGGTTAATTGGCTTTAGTTTCTTTTTCTCTTTTTGTAATCTAAAGGAAAGATATTTTAATCATTAAATAAACCACTTCAATAGTAAATTTTAAACATATGCGCTTGTTTTTAAAAGCAAAAATAAAATACATTGTTATCTACCATTCAAACCTTAAACACAAACTCATTCGCTTATTCAAGTAAAACGCGTAGACCAAATCCAATATCAATTTTATTCAAACGTCAATAGAAATAAAGAAGATATACGACAAAATCAATGGTGTTGCACATCAACAATAAGAAAAAGTTTCATTCAAAGGACATTAACATATAAACTTAGGGGAAAATTAGGAACCTCACTCCACAAAATGCATAGTTATATAAAAACAAAAACAAAAAAAGATAACAAAAATTGAATCAAAGTGCAAATAAAATAAAACATCGTTAAGCTTGATGGAGTACAATTCATCAATTATCTTTCAACAAGTTCCCTTTCAATGTAGATAATCATGTAATATGCAAGAAATTCATCAATATTATTATGAAGCTTTGTTTTATAAGATTCTTAGTTGAAAATGCTTATTTAGTTGTTTTGGAAATAGGAACAGTCAACACTAAACAAATCAACCCCCTCAATAAAAGTGTAGAATCTTGATTTTTTGGTTTCAATCAATTGTCTAAACAAATCAAACTTTTAAAGTTCCAAATTATTTCTCCAAGTGTTATCCCACTATGATCAGCATCTTGAGGGTAAAATTTCTTTACAAGCTTACAAATATTATTAGCATTAAATGGTTTGAAATTATCACTGTGATTCATTGGAGAGCTAAGAGTACGTAAGGAACTCCATTATTTGATTGGGAAGTCTATTATGTAACTCCATCAAATTAAAATCTATCATAGTACATGTTGGTGTTAAGAGCCGGTGAATTCTAACGATAGATAAAGGAGAAATGAAAATGAGTTGAACTGAATTTTCATTACACTGCAACTTACAATATATACAACCAAAATACTGACTGTTTCACCAACTAAAATAGACCATACAACCATTTAAAATTTAAAACTATGTTTGCAACTAATACAAGCTTAATCTAAGCCGATTTCACCTAAACATGTCACTAAAATCAACCACTACAACAGCTTCAATTTCGACAGACAGAGAGGACTTCAACTGCTGCTTGGCGCCAAAACACATTCAAAAAACAAACTAACTTTCAACTGAATTTCCATCAAATTATCAATGTTTCAACACTTCTCCTTGATAATTTTGCTAGAAACACCAAGTCTGATCCTGAAGTCTTCAAACTTGGTTTTGGGTAATCCCTTAGTAAGGATGTCAACCACTTGATCATCACCACTGTAGTGAACTAGTTTTACTTCCCCTTCTTGCTCAGCTTCTCTCACTGCATGGAACCTGATCTTTATGTGTTTAGTTCTCCCATGATGGACTGGATTCTTAGCCATAGCCACACCCGACTGATTGTCACACATTATCACAATAGGATGTCTCAGCTTCAGCTTCAAATCTTCCAGGATTTTTCTCAACTAGATAGCTTCAACAGCTGTAGCCGAAATGTATTCTGCTTCTGTTGTGGATTATGCAACCGTTTCTTGTTTCTTTGACAGCCAACAGATTGCACCATGATTCAGGAAGAAAGCATACCTTGAAGTGCTCTTCATGTCTTCCACATAACCACCCCAATCACTATCAGAGAATCCCTTTAGGCCAAAGTTTTCTAACCTCCGAAACCACACTCCAAAGTTGGTGCTCCCTTTCACATACCTGAGCACTCTTTTTGTAGCTTTGAAATGTGTTTCTTTGGGCTGATTCATGAACCTGGACAGTAAGCTTGTTGCAAACATGATATCAGGCCTGGTTGCTGTTAGGTACAGCAAGTAGCCAACCAAGCTTTTATACTGTCCCTCATCAACACTTTTTGCATCATCATCCTTTGACAGTTTCAGATTTGAACCAGAGGAACATCCATTGATTTGCAGTTTTCCATATTGAATTTCCTCAAAACTTCAATTGCATACTTCTCTTGATTAACAAATATTCCAGCTAAGCTTTGATGAACCTACATCCCAAGAAAGTAAGCCATTTCACCTAAATCTATCATCTCAAACTCATCAAGCATGGATCTCTTGAATTCCTCTAGTTAAGCCGGTTTGCTTCCTGTCACAAGTAGATCATCAACATACAAAGAGATAATCATAACATCCTTATCAATCTCCCTAACATACAATGTTGCTCATTTGGACTTCTTACAAAATCCAAACTCAGCAAGTGATCATTTATTCTGCTGTACCAGGCCCTTGGTGCCTGTTTTAGGCCATACAAAGCCTTCTTTAGGAGATAGACTTTGTCTTCCTTTCCCCTGACTTTATACCCTTCTGGCTGTTCAACATATGTCTCCTCATTCAGCCATCCATTAAGGAATGCAGATTTGATGTCTAACTGAAATATTTTCCATGCAAATTGTGCTGCCACTGCAAGTAACAACCTGATTGTGTCATGCCTTGCAACTGGTGCAAAGGTATTCGGAAAATCAACTCCATACTGCTGAGCAAAACCTTTGACAACCAGCCTTGCTTTGTGCTTAAGGACTGAACCATCTGGATTGAGTTTCTTCTTGAAAATCCATTTAACTTGGATCACTTTTCTGTTCTGAGGTCTGTCCACCAGGTTCCAAGTTTGATTCTTCTCAATCATTGCCAACTCCTCCTTTATGGCAACTCTCCAAACTTTTGATTTTACAGCTTCAAAGTAACATGTTGGCTCAAGTGAGGCTATGTTACATCTCTCATAAACCTCAGCTAAAGGTTTGGTACCTCTAACTGAAACTTCTTTTTCTGCATCACCCTCAATATCATCAAAATTCTGATCACCTATAGCTTCTGTCCAGCCTGGTTTTGTCTCCATATCAGCTCTATTTTCTTCCCAATTCCATACTCCATTCTCATCTATTTTGACATCCCTAGAAATTTGATTTTTTCTTGTTTCTAGAACATACACCCTATAGGCTTTAGACTAACTACTATAACCTATAAAAATGCCAATTAAGGCCTTTTCATCCAGTTTGGATCTTTTTGCTGCTGGAACCAGAATGTAGCATATACTTCAAAATATTTTGAGCATATCTAGTACTGGTTTGACTCTATGCCATGCCTCATAATGTGTTTTGATGTCCAAGGCTTTTTTGGGAAGCCTATTAAGCAGAAACACTGCTGTATTGACAGCTTATGCCCAAAATTTCTTTGGCAATCTCTTCTCAGCTACCATACATCTAGCCATCTCTATAACTAATTTGTTCTTCCTCTCATTGACTCCATTCTGCTATGGGGTGTAGGGGCTGCTGTATTGATGCTTAATTCTAGCATCTTTGCATACTTGTTCAAACTCTTGAGAAGTGTATTTTGTACCATTGTCACTTCTCAAGATTTTTATAGTTTTTCCAGCTTGATTTTCCACCAGCAGCTTAAGCTGCTTAAATACACCAGCAACTTCTCCTGTTTGCTGCAGAAAAATACACCCAACACATGCTAGAATAGTCATCAATAAACAACACAAAATACCTACTTCCACTCAATGACAAAGTTTCCATAGGACCACATATATCTATATGAATGAGTTGCAATTTTTCAGTTGCTCTTCAGGCTTGGTTTACAGGAAAGGATTGCCTACTCAACTTGCCAAGTTGACAGGCTTGACATAAGGTTGTACTCTCCTCTAATTCTGGTAGATTCTGGACCACTCTCTTGGTTTGAATTTCCTTGAGACCTTGGTAATGAATATGACCAAGTCTCTTATGCCATTTCAAAAACTCATCTACCTTTACATTGCAGGCTCTATGTTTAGTTCTTTTTAGCTTAATGGGAAAACTTTTCCCCACCATTTTGACTCTCATCAACTCACACCCCTTACTGTCTAGAATTTGGCAGATTTGATTTTCAAAATGCAAGACATAATGGTTTTCTAACATTTGTCCTACACTTAAAACGCTTTGACTGATTTTGGGTGCATATGGTACATTTAAGATGAGTTTTGTACCTGTTGAGGTCTGAATTGCAACATCTCCCTTTCTCTTTGCTTCAACATAGTCACCATTTGCAATTTTAATCCTAGACCGATGTGCTTAGTTTAGTCTGACAAAATCCTGCAGGTGTGGTGTCATATGGTTTGTACACCCACTGTCAACTAGCCATCCATCATAGCATGTTGGTGGTGCACTGTAGGAGGCCACAAACAACTGTTTTGTCCCTTGTTTAGGTTGCTGGTCATCTGTCACTTGTGCTTGCTGTTTGGGCTGCTCTCATTTGTTCTTGCATACCCTTTCTATATGACCAAATTGTTTACAAGCCCTACATTGTATTCCTGGCCTAAACCAGCATCTTTTTTCAAAATGCCCTTTCCTTTTACAGACAAGCCCTACATTGTATTCCTAGCCTAAACCAGCATCTTTTTTCAGAATGCCCCTTCCTTTTACAGTGGGAGCAAGGTGGATATTCCTTCATCCCACTTGGTTTTCCCCATTGGCCATTGCTCATTTCTTTCCCCTTCTCACCAGGATACCTCCTATTGTTCCCTTGAGCTGGTTTGGTTTTGTGAGCTGCCATCATTGGACCCTCACCTATATCTTCTTGCCTCAAGAGCCTTCTTTGCTCTTGTGCTTCCAGTGCATGAACTAGCTTTGTAAGTGTAACCTGCCTCATGTCTCTTGAGTCCTCAAGAGATGAGATTTTGGACTCAAATCTTTTAGGTAGGCTAACCAGAACTTTCTCCACCACTCTCCTGTCTGTTAACTCCACTCCCAGTAGCCTTATTTTGTTGACAACACTCATCAACCTGTCAACATAGTCTTTAACCTTCTCTGATTCTTATATCCTCTGCATCTCAAACTATCTTCTTAAATTTAGCACCTGCATGTTCCTTGTTGTGTTGCTCCCCATGCATTCTTCTCTCAACTTATCCCATGCCTCTTTTAGAGTTTTGTATGCCATGATCCTTGTGAATACAAGGTCTGCTACAATAGCATGAATGTGGGAAAGGGCTTTCGGTGCTTTGGCAGTTTCTTCCTCATGCAGTCTCATCTGATTCAGGGTAGGATTTGGTCCTAATGGAGGTAGCTGCCTATTTTCTTCCACATACTGCCACAACCCTTGACTCCGGAGAAATGCTTTCATCTTTACAGCCCATATGTGGTACTGTTCCCCATTAAACACTGGAGGTGACATCAAGGCTGATTGAGCAGCCATTGATTCAATTTATGTGTCGGACGCAGAAAAGTAAATGGATAGGTGCAGACTATTTTGGGCTGAGATGGGAGGTGTTCTTGAGCTGAGATTGATGAGTGAATGCAAGAGAGATTTCAAGTTGTTTTTGTGTGGCTCTGATACCAATTGTTGGTGTTAAGAGCCGGTGAATTCTAAGGAAAGATAAAGGAGAAATGAAAATGAGTTGAACTGAATTTTCATTTCACTGCAACTTTCAATATATACAACCAAAATACTGACTATTTCACCAACTACAACAGACCATACAAACATTTAAAATTTAAAACTATGTTTGCAACTAATACAAGCTTAATCTAAGCTGATTTCACCTAAACATGTCACTAAAATCAACCACTACAGCAGCTTCAATTTCGGTAGATAGAGAGGACTTCAGCTGCTGCTTGGTGCCAAAACACATTCAAAAAACAAACTAACTTTCAACTGAATTTCCAACAAATTATCAATGTTTCAACAGTATCAAAGATATCAATGTGATAGTAATGCTCAATTGGAATATTATATTTCGGTTGACAATTACACCTTGTACCTTCCATATATCAAGCACTCATATTAGTCATAACAGCACCATGCTTTTGACAAAATCTTATCAAACTTTCAAAGAAAGAATCCCATCTATCTTCATATTAGTGTTGAAGAACTATTCTTGTTGATGAAACTAAACTCAAAACACTTACACTATCTTAATTTTTCATCTATAGTGCTTGACAAAGTTATCATTGGTCCTTGTAATTTTATTCAAAAGAAGCAAAATGAACACAAAAGTTTTTCCCAAGTGCAATTCAATCCTTCTTGGACTCATTACTCTTCCTCTTCCTATTCTCTTTTGTTATTTACTCAACACATCACAAGAAGTGCTTAGTCTATAATTGTACTAGTTGATATTTACAAGTTTGCTAAACATATGTCTGTTCTGTCTACTTCTTATGAATGTTAGAACTGACAATTGAATGTATCTTTCAATTGAATATTGGACTTGTAACTCATTTATAGAATTTGGAAATGATGTTTTATTTGGGCAGTATCTGATCATAATATAATTCTTATACATTTTCTCCGCAATCTCTGCAATTTCCATTCATTGTAACTGATTATTTTTGTGCTATAGCTCAAAATTTTCAATCTAAGGAAATTGTCAGCATTTTCATTGAATTGGCTTGTAACGCCCCGCTTGAGGTACGTTGTTATTGTTTCCTCTTTCGCCCTCATTTGAGTCGTTTTTGGTAATATTGTTTGATTTTCNTTCTGCTTAGGTTACAACAGATATTGATCAAAAATAGAAAACTTTGGCAAACAAATAATTGAAAATTGAACAAGATATCATTTCGCCTCAGTTTCTGTTAGAACTCAAGCTTAAGGAAGAGCCTAACTCAAAAGACCAACTTAATAGGTGGGAGAGCCCCAGGCTTAAGTACCACACTTGGTGGGTGTGAAATCCCGATGTGGGATCCTAACATTGCATCCCCCTTTAGGAGCCGACGTCCATAACGACTTTCACTTTATCGACACTGACCCAATAGCCCTTTCCTCATTTGGGCAGCTTCACTCACCTATCAGTTATTTAATGCAACATCCCCTCCCAGGGAAAGCACACTACACCTAAATCTAGCCCATAAGTAAGCTTTCTGCACCCAACTTTCAAAGAGAGCACCAATGTTAGAATATAAGCTTAAGGAAGAGTCCAACCCAAAAGATCAACCTCATAGGTGGGAGAGCCCCTAGGCTTAAGTACCACACTTGGTGGTTGTGAGATTTCGATGTGGGATCCTAACAACTTCTGATCTCTTTCAACTTCATGAGCTTCTTGTTGTGTACTTAGTAAAACATAGGATTCTAATAGAACTTCAGTTATATTATAAAATCAAGAATACTGAAAAAAACTGCTATAGAACTTGAAATTGACTTTGAAAAAAGCTTCCCTTAATCTCATAACATAGCAAATAATTGACAGTAATACTAAGGTATATAAATAGTGACAAGTTGAGTAATCATAAAGAAACTTATAACAAGTAATATCAAAGGTTTCCTTATAGTGATAAAACAATAAAAATGATATGTGGCTTAAGCAAATGGAACCTAGGTTATATGTTTACCGGAAACGAAGAGTTATGAAAGCCATCTTTATGCAGTGTTTCTAATGTACTAAAAAGAGGATGTTTTGGAGTATCATATCGACCCTTGCATTAATCAAGACCTCAAAGAAATGAGATAATCTTCCTTTTTAGTTGTCCAACATCAGCATCCATAGTCGCAGTTTTCTAATGATGTGTATAGATAGTAACTACCTAAAAGTAAAAACTTCATTTCTGTTACAATCTGAAGAAGAAATGGTAAAAGCAGTAGTTGGACTACCTAAGACTGTCTGGAAGAGACAATATAGGCAAGAGTAGCAATAAGTTGTAGAGAATGCCCAACAGAAATAAAGCAATCTAAATGGAGAATAATTTCTATAAAAGTGTTTTTTGTATGTCTTTTCATTGTATCAATGGTACAATTTATACATAAAAAATGTAATATGTAAGGAAACAAATAAATACAAATAACTGCACAATCAACACATAAATGGAAACAATAGTTTGTTACTAATAATATTTGATCTTGATCACTCCAAATCCTGACTTTGATTCAGCATTCCATCATCCAGTTGTCAACACTCCCCCTCAAGCTCATGGTTTATGAATGTCATAAACACTGAGTTTGCTTAATAGATGTGAATGCTGCCTTTGACATAACAGCTTTGTAAAGATATCTGCTGGTTGGTCTGTGGTTCGGATATGTTCTGTTTTGATCACACCTTCTTGTATTTTATCTCTGACAAAATGACAGTCAATTTCTATATGCTTCGTTCTTTCATGAAATACTAGATTGGTGGCAATGTCATTTGTTGCTTTGTTATCACAATATAGCTTAACTGGTGTTTCCACTTGCAAATTCAGATCTTTTAATAAGCTAAAGATCCATGTAATCTCACATGTGGTTTTAGCGATCGCCCTATAGTCTGCCTCTGTTGATGAGAGAGAGACTATGGTTTGTTTCTTGGTTTTCCATGAGATGAGAGACTTTCCAAGCGTGATGTGGAAACCTGTGAGCGATCTTCTTGTCATAGGACATGAACCCCAATCTGAATCACAGTACGCAATGATGTTAAGATTTTCTTGGTAGAAGAAGTCCCAACCCTGGATAACCTTTTAAGTACTTAAGTACTTTTACTACTGCATCCATGTGGGATTGCTTTGGAGCATGCATTAATTGGCTGAGAATTTGAATTGCATAGCTGATGTCTGGTTGGGTCATTGTGAGGTATATGAGTGTTCCAACTAGTCGTTAGTAACTAGTGTTATGTTCTAGTGAATGATCTGTCTCTGATTTCTGCATCTTTTCATCATACTCACGTGTGGTGAGTTTAACGTTCCGTTCTACAGGAATAAAACTTTGTTTGCATGCAACTAATCCGGAGTCTGATATGAGTTCAAGTACATATTTTTGCTGACTGAGGGATATTCCTTTTGGAGAACATGCAATTTCAATGCCAATGAGGTATTTTGGTGCCCCTAAATCCTTGATATGGAATGTTTTGTGAAGATACTCCTTTAGTAGTTTGATTGCATTCTCATCGTTTCCTATAATGAGGATGTCATCAACTCACCCTGATGCCTAGAGAAGAGGGTGTAATCATGTTTGGATTTAGTGAATCAAATAGTTGTGAGCGCTTTAGTGAACTTTGCATTCCATTAGCGTGATGCCTATTTTAAACCATATAGGGACTTTCACAATTTGCATACAAGATTCTCCCCCTGACTGTAAAGTCTGGTTGATAGATCCATACAAATCTCCTCATCAAGGTTTCTATGGAGGAAGGCATTATAAACATCCAGTTGATGTAATGGCCAGTCGTGGTAAGAGGCAACAAAGAGAAAGGCTCGGATGGTAACATGTTTGGCGACTGGGGAGAAGGTTTCCTGATAATTGAAACCTTCTCGTTGGGTGAAGCCTTTAGCAACAAGATGGGATTTACACCTCTCAATGGACCCATTAGTTCGATGCTTGATTTTGTGGACCTATTTACAACCAATGGGTTTCCAATGGAGGGGCGAGAAACAAGGTCCCAAGTGTGATTACTGATAAGGGCATTGAGTTCAGCTTCCATGTCTTGACACTAACAAGCATGTTGGATGGCATCAGAAAAGGTGGACGACTCTGATGAGTAGATATATTGGTCATATAAGATTTGTGCTCAGAAGACAAATGGTCAAAACTGACATACTCAGAGATAGGGTAAGGGATACCTTTCACAAATGAACAGATGTAGTCTGATATCCAAATAGGGGATCGAGTAACCTAAGAAGAGCATCAAAGGGGAATCAGATGGGGTGATGGTACCACATCTAAAGATGGAGAATCATCCGAAGATAGATGATCTGTGGTGGATTCTGTATGTCGACTGAGTGGAGACTGTGAATTGTCTAGAGGACCAGGATCTCACTGATCAATAGGAACTAGAACTATGGTGAAAGGAGTGTCAGATGGTGGTAAATGATCCAGTGGGAGGAGATGAGAAGTGCTGGAGGGAGGCTCACTTTCAAAAAAGGGAAAAACTTCCTTATGAAAAATAACATCTCTATTGACAAAAAATTTGTTAGTTTGTGGATCATATAATCGGTACCCTTTCTATAGCATGGGGTAGCCCATGAAGATACATTTGGTGGCATGAGCAACAAATTTGTCATGGGGCCCTATAGTAGTTGAGTAACAAAGGCATCCAAAAACTCATAAATGGGAGTTATCAGGTTTTTTTTGAAATAACAATTCAAAAGGAGTTTTACCTCCAAGAATCTGTGTAGGCATGCGATTAATGAGATAAGTAGCAGTGATCACACATTCACCCCAAAAGGTGGTAGGGATGTGGGCTTGGTGGTTAAGGGCTCGGGCCACTTCAAGGAGGTGATGATGTTTTCTTTCAACAA